GTGTGAGTCTCCGGGAGTGGGTCTGTGCATGAGTCTACGGGTCTTTGTGTGTGTCTGTGGGTCTCTGTGTAAGTCTACGGGTCTGTGTGTGTCTGTGTACGAGTCTACGGGTCTGTGTGTGTCTGTGGGTCTCTGTGTGAGTCTACGGGTCTCGATGTGAGTGGGTCTGTGCGTAAGTCTACGGGTCTCTGTGTGTGTCTGTGGGTCTCGATGTGAGTGGGCCTCTGCGCGAGTCTACGGGTCTCTGTGTGTGTCTGTGGGTCTCTGTGTGAGTCTATGGGTCTCGATGTGAGTGGGTCTGTGCGTAAGTCTACGGGTCTCTGTGTGTGTCTGTGGGTCTCGATGTGAGTGGGCCTCTGCGTGAGTCTACGGGTCTGTGTGTGTGTGGGTCTCTGTGTGTGTCTACGGGTCTCGATGTGATTGGGGCTGTGTGTGAGTCTATGGGTCTCTGTGTGAGTCTACGGGTCTCTGTGTGTGTCTGTGGGTCTCTGTGTGAGTCTGTGGGTCTCTGTGTGAGTCTGTGGGTCTCTGTGTGAGTCTGTGGGTCTCTGTGTGAGTCTACGGGTCTCGATGTGAGTGGGTCTCCGTGTGAGTCTGTGTCTGTGCACGAGTCTACGGGTCTCTGTGTGTCTGTGGGTCTCTGTGTGTGTCTGTGGGTCTCTGTGTGAGTCTGTGGGTCTCTGTGTGAGTCTGTGGGTCTCTGTGTGTGTCTGTGGGTCTCTGTGTGTGTCTGTAGGTCTCTGTGGTGAGTCTACGGGCCGCACGTGAGAACCCGGTGTAGCCGTGGGTGGGTGTGTGGCTGGAACCGGTATTGTAACCCAGCGACCACCTGACCTCTGAGCGAGCGAACTGCCTGTCTTGAAAGTGCAGTCCCTAACGCGTGCGTCCGTGCCTGTCTCCCCGCAGCGATAGACGGGGTCCCGTTTGTCCTGAGCGAGAAGTACGACACAGCCTCCAGAAACGTGAGCGGTTGTCGATGCACGAGTACCCCCCTCGCTTGGATCCCAACCCCTCGCTCGCTCAGCCTAACACTCGGTCTCATGCTCGGTCTAACACTCAGCCTAACGCTCAGCCTAACGCTCAGTCTAACGCTCAGTCTAACGCTCAGTCTAACACTCAGTCTCATGCTCAGTCTCTAACACTCAGTCTCATCGCACTCAGGCTCAGTACAACTCAGTCTCTAGCACTCAGGCTCAGTCTCTAACACTCAGTCTCTAACACTCAGGCTCAGTCTCTAACACTCAGTCTAACGCTCAGCCTAACACTCAGCCTAACGCTCAGCCTAACACTCAGTCTAACACTCAGCCTAACACTCAGCCTAACACTCAGTCTCATGCTCGGTCTAACACTCAGTCTAACGCTCAGCCTAACGCTCAGCCTAACACTCAGCCTAACGCTCAGCCTAACACTCAGCCTAACACTCAGCCTAACACTCAGCCTAACACTCAGCCTAACGCTCAGTCTAACTCTCAGTCTAACTCTCAGTCTAACGCTCAGTCTAACGCTCAGTCTAACTCTCAGTCTAACTCTCAGTCTAACGCTCAGTCTAACGCTCAGTCTAACGCTCAGCCTAACGCTCAGTCTAACGCTCAGCCTAACACTCAGTCTAACGCTCAGTCTCATGCTCAGCGTAACACTCAGCCTAACACTCAGTCTAACACTCAGTCTAACGCTCAGTCTACCACGACCACCACGACCACCACCGGCGTTGCGACCATCACGGCTGACTTGACCACGGAGGAGAGACTCTCATCCAGCAGTGGATCCACGTCGCGGCTGTGTGTGTGCGTGTACGCGTGTGTGTGTACGCGGTGTGTGTACGCGTGTGCGTGTACGCGTGTGTGTGTACGCGTGTGTGTGTGTGTGTGCGTGTGTGTGTGCACGCGCGTGTGTGTGTGTGCGTACGCGCGTGTGTACGCGTGTGTGTGTGTGTGTGTGTGTGTGCGCGTGTGTGTGTGCGTGTACGTGTGTGTGTACGTGTGTGTACGCGCGTGTGTGTGTGTGCGTGTGTGTACGCGCGTGTGTACGCGTGTGTGTGTGTGCGTGTACGTGTGTGCGTGTGCGTGTGCGTGTGTGTACGCGGTGTGCGTGTACGCGTGCGTGTACGCGTGCGTGTACGCGTGCGTGTACGCGTGTGTGTGTTGTGTGTGCGTGTACGCGTGTGTGTGTGCGTGTACGCGTGTGTGCGTGTACGCGTGTGTACGTGTGTGTGTGTGTGTGCGCACGCGTGTGTGTGTGTGCGTGTGTGTGTGTGTGCGTGTGTGGGGAGCGGTAGTGTAGCAGTTAGCGCGCTGCACTACGAACCCGGGGACTCTGGTTCGATTCCCGCTCACGGCAAACACCAGTGACGATTATCTGAACCGGTCCTGGTTCAGATAATCTGGGCCTCCCCTAGGTAGACTCGGCCTCAAAGTTAGTACCTGGTGCGGTGTGTAAACATCGCCACTGGGGAGACAAAGGCGGATCTGGCGTGGTGCTGACCACCCACCCCCTCGTGTGCCGTGCTGGCCTTCATAGGTGCTCGCTAACAGCACTTACCCCTACAGTCTGTTAGGGCTACACGGAGGATCTTTGTCTTTGTGTGCGTGTGTGTCGCAGGCTCACGGGATGGACATATCGTCCATCATCATAAAGTCCATCATCGACATCGAGAATGAAGTACGTTTACTCCCCACCCAGCCCTCTCTGCACGACGGACGGACACAAGAATCCCCTGTGGGCTGGTGTAACCAGGAGGTTCCTACCAGTATGACTATTTTTTAGACCTGGCTACCACAAGCAATGGCTTGTGGTAGCATGACTTTACCGAAAGAACCAAAGAGTATAATCTCAATAATCTCGGTGAGTGTTTCTAAAATAGACGTAGAAAAAAACAATGTGGTAATTAAAAATATTTTGTTTCAATTTCTTTGTGTGAACATCAACTACGCAACCCAACAGCCGCACAGCCTTCTGGGAGCAGGTATATCAGCAGCGTTGATTCGAATTCGACATTCAAAAGACAAAGATCCCCCATATAGGCTGATCAGGCTGTTGGGGAAAGTGCTGTTGGCGAGCACCTATGCAGAGCGGAACGAAACACGAGGGGTGGGTGGCCAGCACCACGCCCTAGCGTTGATGATCTTACACACCGCACCAGGTACTCATTTAAGGTTGAGTCGACCTAGGGGAAGGCCCAGGACCGGTTCAGACAATCGTCACCGCCGTTGGCCTCTGGTGCGGGAATCGAACTCGGGTCACCAGGTTCGTAGCGCTAACCGCTACACCACCGCTCCCACAATGCTCCATACAAAGACGAAGATCCCCCGTGTAGCCTTAACAGACTGTTGGGGCAAGTGCTGTTGGCGAGCGCCCACCACCACTTTCATGCTTTTTTTTTTTACACCGAAATCAAAACAAACTTACCCCTGAGAATGGCGCGGCCACACACGCCTTGCCTGGCCCAGCACGTTCGTGATGTACGATGCCACCTGCTGTTGAAAAGCAAAAAAACGCCGCCCTGTTGTTGGCTTCAGGGCGAGCGCGTTTGGCGATGCTCACGAGTTGCAGCAAGAAAGGATCTGAAATGAACCCACGACCTCCTGTATACCAGGGGGAGGTGGTAAACCGCTCCCCACTGTGGCACCCCCACTCACCGTGCCACCCACATCTCCCTTATACAATCTCACCTCTTCCCCCGCATCCCACCGCTCCCTCTCTCTGCGTTGTCTCTCCCTCCCTCGTTCGCTCGCTGTCCCGTTCCAGTACGAGTACAGCTTCGTGACGGAACGGAACGCGGTTTCCCAGTCGCCTGCAGCCTGCAGCTGAGGGTCACCCACGACTCCCGCCGACGGCACGCGGCCTCCGACCAAACCCGCCGGCGAAGCCTCGTCGCAGCAGAAGGAAGTCGCCCGCCTCGTCATCCCAGGCGCAGCGACGTTTCCACTCCCCCGTCGTTCCTTTCGCCCGATTGTTGGCTTGGGGGGGTGGGTGGGAGCCACGGCCGGTCGGCTGCTTTCAAGCGGCAAGAGAATTCTTCCCGGGACGAGATGTCGAACGAGAAGATCGGGGAAGTTGACTTCCTTGAAATTGATTGCGTCTCTCGCTCGCAACGGACGCGCGCAACGGACGTGCACATCGCGCGCACGGACGGACGCACGAGCGCACGTACGCGCAAACTTACACGGCGCACGCGTGCGTACGAACGCACGTGCGCGGACATACACGGCGCACGTACGTACGCATGGGACGCGCGTACGAACAACCGCACGCGCAGACGAACACTCGCACGCGCAGAACGATTCTGCGGCCAGCTTGCCGAATCCGTGTCGCCCGTTTTCGTTTTTTATTTTCGTTTTTTTTTATCCGATTTAATCGCAAGCCTTGACGCGACAGCGTAAAAAACAAAAACTACTAGAAAATGTAATGATACTAAACCGAGGCTCCGTGATTGTGATAGCGTCGCCAAGCGGCGATGACGAATTTACGCGGTTGCATCATTTAATTTCATTTAATTTTTTGCCAAATTGGCGGCGAGTTTTCGGATGTCTCTGGACCCACACCGCCCGCACGGTTGCCGGAAAGTTTCCCGCCTCCGATCTTACCGCGTGCCGTTCACCTTGCCTTGTCCGACGTTTCACCGCACATCCTGGGAGCATCTTCAGGAAATCGGTTAATGATAATAATGCTTTCATTTATGATGTAGCGTCAGTCATGTTAGTAGGTCCCATAATGCTGTGCAAAGACAGAATCCATATACAGCCGCTAGCAGTTCACGCTCACTCGTTCACTCACTACAGTGACTGACACACCCGCTAGCCACGTCTAACACCCCTGCACACTCGCACACACTCCCTCTCAACACGCACTCACTCACTCAAAACACTCGCTCGCTCTCTCAATCCACCCACTCTTTTTCACACACTCACTCACACTTTCACACAAACACGCGCGCGCACTCACTCGCTCGCCATTCACACACTCGCACTTGCACACTCATTCACACTTTCACACACACACAAATACGCTCACACACTCACTCGCTCATCATTCACACACTCACTTGCACACTCACTCACACACGCACAACGCGCGCCGCACTCACTCGCTCACCATTCCACACACTCACTTGCACACTCACTCACACTTTCACACACACACAAACACGCTCGCACGCTCACTCGACTCACCATTCACACACTCGCTTGCACACGCCCTCACACTTTCACACACACACAAACACGCATGCGCACTCACCTCGCTCACCATTCACACACTCGCTTGCCCACGCACTCACACTTTCACACACACACAAACACGCACGCGCACTCACTCGCTCACCATTCACACACTCACTTGCACACTCATTCACACTTTCACACACACACAAACACGCACGCGCACTCACTCGCTCACCATTCACACACTCGCTTGCACACTCACTCGCTCACCATTCACACACTCACACTTTCACACACACACACTCGCTTGCACACTCACTCACTCACCATTCACACATTCACTTGCACACTCACTCACACTTTCACACGCACACAAACACGCACGCGCACTCACTCGCTCACCATTCACACACTCGCTTGCACACTCACTCGCTCACATTCACACACTCACACTTTCACACACACACACTCGCTTGCACACTCACTCACTCACCATTCACACATCACTTGCACACTCACTCACACTTTCACACGCACACAAACACGCGCGCGCACTCACTCACTCACCATTCACACACTCACTTGCACACTCACTCACACTTTCACACACACACAAACACGTGCTCTCTTACTCATTCACCATTTCACCCAGTCACTCACTCAACTCACTCACTCGCACTGACACTGATTCACACACTGATTCTCACACACACACACGCAACAGTTGATTTCCTGAAGAAACTCCCACAGCGTGCGCACGTTGGTAAACGTTCTTAGTTTTACTTTTACCGCGATGATGACGATGTTTTATGCAAAAATACTGTACGTGGTTTTTGATGGAAGGAGGGACGGGGGGGGGGGTGAGTGAGTTGAGTGAGCTTTGCTCGGTAATTTTACTGTTAAACTAAAACTGAACTGCTTTTATTTTTCCAAGTAAGGCCCACTGAGATTGTGAGTTCGATCCAGGACCCCTTGACGCCTGCTGCTGTATATTTGGAGTTTGCGTGTCTCTCTCCCCGTGGTCGCGTGGATTTTTCTCCGGGTCCTCCGGCTTTTTTTTTTTTCCTTTCCAACATTTTAGAATGGACGTTGACGCGTTCGGAGTGTGTGGCGACCGCTTTACATTTCCACGCGACGGCGATGATGAAAAACCACAACTTGATCTTCTTGGTTCTTTCAGTAAAGTCACGTAGAAGGGAAGTAATAAAATAAGAAAATAAAACATAATAGAATAATTCTCACGACGTTTCGGCCACAACGCAAGCAGCCGTCCTCAGGTGAAGAACATGTCTGTTGGAAAAGACTTGTTCTTCACCTGAGGACGGCTGCTTGCGTTGTGGCCGAAACGTCGTGAGAATTGTATTTTATTATGTTTTATTATTTTATTACTTCCCTTCTACGTGACTTGACCGAAAGAACCAAGAAGATGAATCCCTGCAGTCACGAAAGCTTTAAATCGAAAAGCCACAATTTCGTTGAGCTAACGTTTGTGATAGCAAGGGGTCACTTCTGATAACCAGATACGTGGCCCAGTGGGGCTTTACCTGGTAAAAATTTAAATAAATGTCTCGTTTAGTTTTAGAGTCTTGATAGTGCTTTGGATGGGTGACCACCCCAGCATCACAGGTGCTATAGGCTTTGGGGTTACATTAGCAGACGCTAGAGGGCAGTGCCGCAACATTTATTGTGCTGTACTATGCTCCCCCACACCTTAACTGGGCCGCACTGACCAGTGTGGTGAAGTATGGTCAGATATCCGTTCCACGAGTGTTGTGGCGCGATTTATTTATTTCTCTTCCAGACGATGGCAACAACAATAATATTGTTGTTGTTGTTTGTAACGCTGTGCTCGGAACGTTTTTGCTCGTTGTCGGAAATTGCGTAGGTTCGATTCTGAGTCGGGGGTTTGACTCGGCGGGGGCACTACCATCACTACCACCACTACCACCACCACTACCATCACTACCACCACTACCACCACCACTACCACCACCACTACTACCAACACTACCACCACTACCAGCACCACTACCATCACTACCACCACCACTACTACCACTACTACCACTACTACACCACTACCAGCACTACTACCACCACTACCAGCACTACTACCACCACTACCAGCACCACTACCATCACTACCACCACCACTACTACCACTACTACCACCACTACCACTACTACTACCACCACCACTACTACTACCACCACTACTACTACCACCACTACCATCACTACTACCACCACCACTACCACCACCACTACCACCACTACCATCACTATTACTACCACCACTACCACTACCACCATTACCACCACTACCACCTCTACCACCATTACCACCACTACCACCATTACCACCACTACCACCAACACTACCACTACTACCACCACTACCACCACTACCACCACAATACCACCACAATACCACTACCACCACCACTACCACTACTACCACTACCACCACCACTACCACCACTACCACCACTACCACCACCACAATCGTTGCCCACCGCTCCCACCGCACCGCTCTCTCTCTCCGCACATCGTCGCCGCCCGTTGAGTTCTTCCCTTTCGCACCGCGCGTGGCCACACGCTCCGATCGGGACGGGGACGGGGGTAGAGGTTGCAATTCGACTTCGGTCAAATCCGCCGCCGTCCAAACGTCTCGTGCCTTTTTTTGTTATTCGGGAAGACGCAGTTCCACGCGTCCCGCTGGAAACTTGAGTCGGACACACGCACACAGTTCGGGCTTTTTTTGTTTTGTTTGTTGATCTACTTGCAAAACGATCGTGTTTCCGAGTTTGTGTTCGGACCCGTCGACAAACCCTCCCTCTCCCCTCCGGGGTGAAGTATGGTCAAACGACCCCCACAAACGGCCGAAGACGCCTCCACGGACGTGGGGGGGGGGGGGGAGAGGCCTTTGCCCCCCCCCCCGCCCCCCCCCCCCGGTGTAAACATCTCCTGACTCCGAATCACCACGAAGATCGCCTTAAACGTCGTGCGTTCAGCCCTTGCCCGTTGCGACGACGGTCGGTAACGCAACCCGTGACAGAAACGCAAAATGAAATGACTTTATCGGCACCCGAGGCCAGAGGTCGCAACCGGGTACCCGATACACGTACCCTACCCGATACCCGGCTACCCGTACCCGGCCAGGTACGGGTATGGGTAGACCGTGAGTCACTGTTGAGTCACCGTTTGTCACTCATTTCCCAACGTCTTGTCTCTTCTCACAATTCAAGTTCCTAGAATGAACCCACCCGCGCCTGCAACATGGCTTCATCCCAGAGGTCGCAACTGGGTACCTGATACCCGTACCCTACCCGATACCCGGCTACCCGTACTCGGCCGGGTACGGGTACCTGTTTGCGACCCTGGTGCAGCCGGGTACGGGTACGGGTAGGCCGTGAGTCACTGATGAGTCACCGTTTGTCACTCATTTCGGGTAGGGTACGGGTAGGGAATGGGTACCCGTAATGGCCGGTGACGATTATTCGAACCGGTCCTGGGCCCTCCCCTAGGTCGACTCGGCCTCAACGAGGTCCCGGTGCGGTGTGTGGTAAACATCGCCACTGGGAGAGAGACAAAGGCGGTCGGGCGTGGTGCTGGCCCACCCACCCCCTCGTGTGCCGTTCCAGCCTTCATAGGTGCTACTACTCGCTGACACGGCTTGCCCCTGCAGTCTGTTACAGGCTACACGGGGGAATCGTTGAACCATAACGCAGCCGCGCTAATCCGAAATGCGCGATCGTGACATTCGAGAGCGATTTTGTATTTATTTATT